AAGCATAGAAAAGCACAGCACCTGTCAAGTAGCCGCCACGTGCCTCACACGGCTCTCAGGTTCTCTCACTGAATCCTAACATTCCTAGAAAACATTTCCCCCAGTTTACAGAAGAGGAAATTAAAGAAGATTCACTCATCTCATCCTTCTGCAGAGGGGTGCTCTGTTCTGGACACTGCAGCCCCGCACTGAACACGACAAACACAGGCTTGTTCTTGTGGAATGTACATTCTCGTGTGGGGGAAAAGATAATAAGCAAACAGAAAATAATCCCAGATACTCATTAAACGCTATATAGAAAACAAAACAGGATGATTTGATTGAGGGACACAGAGGAACAGTTATAGAGAAAAGGAGACTCCAGATAGAGGGAACAACAGCCTGTGCAAAGGCCCTGAGGCATGAAGGAGCTTGACTTATTCAAGGAAGAGAAAGGAGGTCAGAATGGTACGGGGTAGGAGACAAGGCAGGAGAGCAGGCCAGGGCTGGACTGTGTCAGGTAACAGAGGTGGTGATAAGGACTGGAAATTATAACTGCAATGGGATGACGGTAGAGGTCTTTAAGCAGAGAAGTGACACAACCTAAGTTCTGCCTGTTGTGGGAAGAATGAACAATGGGGCCAGGTTTAAAGAGGTTTAGAGAGGCTAAATAAGCACCTCAAGGTTTCACTGCCATTAGTAGCTTGCATTCAACACCAAGGTTTGTTTCCCCAGTGTCACATTTTATATACTGTAGTATAACACTATACTGGAATCTCATATCTGACAAACAGGGGGGCTCCCACTATCTCTGTCATCCCAGGCTTGCTTCCTGCACCAGTCAAGTGAGGATAACTGCTCCTGGTTCTATGATGACAATTCAACAGCCTAGATGGAAACACACTTTGTATTCATCTGGCAGCATTCAACAAACAAAGAGTATGACATTATAAGCAAGGAAAACCAGTGTGGAGAAAAGGGAACCCTCCTACATTGTTGGTGGGAATGTAAATTGGTACAGCCACTATGGAAAACAGTATGGAGGTTCCTCAAAAAACTTAAACTAGAGTTGCCACATGATCGAGCAATCCCACTCCTGGGCATACTATATCCAGAGAAAATTCTAATTTGAAAAGATACATGCAGTACTTCCCTGGTGGCTCAGTCGTTAAGAATCTGCCTGCCAATGCAAGGGACACGGGTTTGATCCCAGGTCCGGGAAGATCCCAGATGCCGCGGAGCAACTAAGCCCATGCGCCACAACTACTGAGCCTGTGCTCTAGAGCCCGCAAGCCACAACTGCTGAAGCCAGTGCACCTAGAGCCCGTGCTCCTCAACAAGAGAAGCCACCACAACGAGAAGCCTGCGCACAGCAACGAAGAGTAGCCCCACTTGCAGCAACCAGAGAAAGCCCGTGCGCAGCCACGAGGACCCAACGCAGCCAAAAATAAAATATTAATTAAAAAAAGAGAAATGAACAGAAAAGACACAGGCACCCCTATGTTCACAGCAGCACTGTTTACAATAGCCAAGACAAGGAAGCAACCTAAATGTCCATCAACAGATGAATGGATGAAGAAGATGTGATATATATATACAATGGAATACTACTTGGCCATAAAAAAGAATGAAATAATGTCATTTACAGCAACATGGATGAACATAGAGATTATAATACTAAAAGAAGTAAGTCAGAAAGAGAAAGGTAAATACCATATATCACTTATATGTGGAATCTAAAATATGATACAAATGAACTTATTTACAAAACAGAAACAGACTCACAGACACAGAGAACAAACTTATGGTTACCAAAGGGGGAAGAGGGTGAGGAAAGGATAAATTAGGAGTTTGGAATTAGCAGATGCAAACTACTACCTATAGCGTAGATAAACAACAAGGTCCTACGGTATAGCACAGGCAACTATATTCAATATCTTGTAACAAACCATAACAGAAAAGAATATGTATATGTATGTATAACTGAATCACTTTCCTGTACACCAGAAACTAACACAACATTGTAAATCAAATATACTTCAATTAAAAAAAAAAAGAAACCCAGGATTTACCCTAATAAGACCAGCTTCAAGTCACAGGTGACCCCGAGTATCAACCCGAGTGAGTTTTCTATCTCTAACCTGAAAAACCTGGACAAACCCGTCCTCCTTCAAGGTAGGGAGCCCAACAGTGAACCAATATGGCATTATGGCATGGGTGAGGCACAATTAATGGGGAACTGCCTGCCCTGCTCCTCTGAGTGGCTGGAAGAGAGATTAGAACAATCTTGCTTATATACAAAAGGTTGAGGATTCTCAGGTAGTTGAGCTGGTTGAGTTTATACTGCTCTCAGAAATCCTTCCTGCTAGAAAGGACCAATGAGGTCAAAGCCATTCCTCCTAAGCTATGAGCAGAACAACCACTTGAGCCTACAATGAACAAGGAAGCCCAATTTCCACGGCAGGCCTCACTAATTTATTTAGCCACCACCTCCAGAAAAGGACCAAGACCTTACTGCCTGGTCCACCATCCCACTGCCCCAGCTTTTTAATTGAAACACCAAGACCTGGATTTCTTCTCCAGATGCCTAAAATATGCTTGCACCTTGGGCCATTCTGTTCTGGGAAGAAGACCAAGGGGAGCAGAGGAAAGCCACAGCCCGGACAAGCAATGCAAGATGGAGATAGACTAGGTACAGGAAAAAAGAAAAAATAATTTTACTAGAAGACAGCTACCCCCTGATGAGGAAAAAACCCTGAAAAGCTGGTGACTTTTTAAGCAGAACTCCATAGACATCGGGTGCAAATGCACTGGATATGAGACCTGTTTGTGTAGGGAGCCAGCTAATCCACTAAGAAGACCTCTCCCTCCCTGTACTGGGTTGAATGGTGTCCCCCCAGAATTCATGTCTACCCAGAACCTAAAAATGTGGTCTTATTTGGAAATAGGGTCTTTTCAGATGTAATTAGTTAAATTAAGATGAGGTCACACTGGATTAAAGTAGCCCCTATTCCAATGACAGGTGTCCTTATAAGGAGAGAAAATAGATACAGATAGAACACCATGTGACAATAGAGACAGAGATGGGAGTGATGCCTCACGAGCCAAGGAATGACAAGGAGTAGCATGGCCTTGCCAACACCTTGATTTTGGACTTCTAGCCTCCAGAACTGTGAGAGGAGCATATTTTTATTGTGTAAGTCCCCAGGTTTATGGTACTTTGTTCCAGCAGCCCTAGGAAACCAATACACACCTTTATTTCACACCTGTTCCCCAAACCACCCTTCCCAGTCTCAGCCCAGGGGCAGGAGACAAGACACACAGGCCACATCTCTAACCCACCTGGACTCTTCCACCTTCCGGGAGCCCATCAGCACTTCTCCCTTTGAGGTGAGGGGAAAGCAGAGATCACATTTCAGGTGCCTCCACCTTCTGCCACCAGCGGCAAACTGGCAGGGGAGTGTTTGTTGTCTCCCCACATTCTCTTAGTTTTGTAGCCTCTCCTTTATTTATTTATTTTATTATTTTTTTTAACATCTTTATCGGAGTATAATTGCTTTACAGTGGTGTGTTAGTTTCTGCTGTGTAACAAAGTGAATCAGCTATACATATGCATATGTTCCCATATCTCTTCCCTCTTGCATCTCCCTCCCTCCCACCCTCCCTGTCCCACCCCTCTAGGTGGTCACAAAGCACCGAGCTGATCTCCCTGTGCTATGTGGCTGCTTCCCACTAGCCACATAGCTATCTATTTTACATCTGGTATATATGTATATATACCAGTGTATATATGTCGATGCTACTATCACTTCGCCCCAGCTTCCCCCTCCCTACCATGTCCTCAAGCCCATTCTCTATGTCTGCGTCTTTATTCCTGTCC